TGCATTGCTCTAATTATAATCTTGCTTTTGCAAAATGTCATTTATGGAAGAATATCACAGAGCAATATGTAGCTGAGCATAGGCAGGATTTGATAAAGTGAAAGGATAAGTTTTCCATTAGGTGCCTTGAGGCAAAAGTACTTATTCCAGCCTAATACAAAAAAGACACAGACATTAAGGTAAAATAGAACAGATACCTTAAGATGCTTAGTACATATTTATGTATAAGCTATACAGCTTCCATTATATTCCATTGCCTCTATCATATTCTATCTATGTATGTATCAAAGATCAGAATTCTTAAGGAATCCAGATTTGAAATTTGTTGACTACCATGCAAGATAGTGGTTCACATGGACTCTACATTATACTATCTTGTTCATATTTAATTATCTGACTGGAGATATAATGCATCCATTTCTTTATTTGTGAGCACAAAGGGTGATGTGGTAGGTTTTAAATCATACTTGCTTAACCATGATTTATTAAATAAAATACGGTTGGGTGCATTAACACAACATGCTAAGTGTTAAACCTTAGTTTAGAAGCCAAGATGGCTGGGTTCATTCAACATGCAAAGACAAAAGCAGATAAATCCCACTGTACAAATCCACCCTGTACACGTAATACATACTGTACCTCTTCAAAAGAAATATCTAGAGCTCTCCAGTGTCACATCCTTCCTTATATACACACCAGAGGGGCATACACTTGCCAGCATTTCAGCTATGCATTTTATACACCTAGTTAGTTGAGGCAAACAGTTCTTTACATAGGGGACATTGGCTCAAGGCCTAACAGCATCAGTAACTAATGATAAACATAGATAGGAATCCATTAGGCCCCCACTAAGCAAGAGGGAAGGACTTAACCTTTGTTTCCTCTATCACAACTATAACGGGGGGGGGGGAATCACCTATCATTATGCTTCAATAAAAGTTCTCACCGGCACCAATGGGAACTTTTTTTTTTTTCTTTTGCTAAGCCTAACAGTAATACAGGAAGAAAAGGTCAGTTTTTTGTTTGTTTGTTCTACTTGTAGCGGGGAACAAAATGGGAGACTCCTTGTATGTTGAGGTTCTAATCATATTCCAATCTGTGCACCTAATTCTGGGGGGAGAAAGAGAAAATATTATACGATTCCAAGTAATACAGTTAATAGTGTGTGCAGTTTAGATCTTGTTTTCATGCCTATAAAAACAGATTCTTCCACTATACTAAATTATTTGAAACCTCAAGTGTGACGCTTCTTATCCACTTAATTCTACAATCCTACTACCGTGAAAATGAAGGGGATATTAATGAGAGGCTTAATATAATTGGTATGTAAGTAACACAAATATGACACAATTCTTGTACCTCCGTATGAGTAATATTTTCTCTAAAAGGCAATAAAGATTTTCCCCCTCTTTTTCTCAAAGATTTTTTTTTTCTCTTGTGGGGGGGAAGGAGGTTAACTGTATGGGCGGAATGCTTTGATCATGCATATTAATACAGACTAATTATGTAGAAAAAGTATTGATTATTTATAAAACTTGATTCAGCATAGGCACATAAATTAGAAACTAGCTTACTTAAGCTGCCTTGGCAAAATATCTTATCATCATTTTGGAGCTGAGAAAGAAAGGCAGAGCTTCTGATTATTATTTTTCTGAGCAAAATATAAAAATAATGACATTTTGGCGTAATCAAAGTTATCGGTATCTCACTGATTATCATCTTGTCTTGTCTTGTCTTGTCTTGTCTTGTCTTGTCTTGTCTTGTCTTGTCATCTTAATATTTGTGTGCCATTATATGTTTATCCTCACTTCTCTTGAGGAAACTCATGATATTATATATGGTCCCTCTTTTTCATTTTCAGAACAATGTTAAGACTAGTCAGCGTCATCCATTGAGTTTCATGCCTGGGCTGAAAACTGAGCATGAGTTTTATATATTACCTTTCACTTATCTGAACTAGGTATTCTTTCCTCCATTTTAGGATACTTCTGAATGGATTACTGGGTTGTTTTTAAAGACTCTTTGAAAGCTACAACAGAGCCTTTCCTGAATCATGTGATTTGACTGAATAAAGAATAAAGAGTCTTTATTTAGATTGAAGACTTCATTAGAGTAGTATTATATTTCCTACATTGACCATCTAGACATATTTCTTTTAGGGAGCCTACAAGCAATATATGAGCATAACAGCACTCCAATGATGAAAATAATATATGCCCACCATGACTTTGGTTCTTAGTGTCATGACATAAATTAAATTGAAGTACTCATTATTGGCAGAAGATGCTGGGCAGCTACCTTGGATTTTTGTAATGTATAACACTACATAACACGAATAAACCAAATTCTTTGTCAATCCAATATTCTCATAGTTTTAACTACTAACTTTCTAATGATGGAGATAATACTAATCTATGACAGCCTTTTTAGGACTATTGAAATTATTTATGTGGAATGCTTCAAACAGTGAAATATGCTAGGTAAAGTTAATAATAATAATAACAAAATGATATGGTTTCATTGCTAATTGCATGTTTATTACTTATTAATTGGACTGTTTATCAGTATGTATCTAAGTTCATATCAAATTGTTCATTATTACTAGGGACAAGTTAGAACATTTTGATGTGAACTTACTCAATTAATACTACATATATGAAAATAAAATATATGCTGGAATCCATGCTATTCTGGACTTCCCAATATTGCTTTCAAATCTATAAAAGAATGAAAAAAATGTATACATTGTGGAAAGTACAGTACAAAACTGTATATATAATGGGAGTCATGAAGAAAAGCACACTGTATCAGGGAAATATTGTAAAAAAATGTGCATACTGGGGAAAATAGATTAAAAACAGAGAAAAAAAATTGACCCCCTTCCCAAATTAATACAGTACCAACTAACTACTCAGAGTAATATTATCCAGTGTGCAGAAATGATATGGATGAATCTAAAGATACATAAGTCAAGATCCAACCCATCTAATACAATTTTCTGGTAAATTCCAATACAAATAGATGTGTTAGAAGAGAAATGGTTGCTCAACTGTAGGGCATATGTCTTTCATACACAAGGCTCAAGGTCAAAGTCTTGGAAAATCCAGGTTAAAAGATGAGGTAGCAGGTGATGGGAAAGACTTCTGCCCAAGAAGTTGTTAAACTGCTGCCAATCCAAGTTAATAAAGCTGGGCTACATAATTTTCTCACCTGGTATAGATTTTTCATTCTTATGAAATGTACAACAATATTTCTATATCATAGAAGAACAGAATGATTCCTCAAAATACAGCAGATTGACAGGGTATCCGTATGGCAATTTATCAAGATGGTATAATGCTTTTATGCCAGCACTTAAGAGAGAGCGAGGGAAAAAAATCATGTTGGGAGATAATGAGATTTCAGACACCTGCTTCCATCTTTTCTCTAAAGAAAGAGATGGTTAATTATTTATGTGAGAGATCCTTACCTAGTTCTAGTTATATGTACTACTTATGTAGCAGTAGTAGCATTGTGAATTGTGCAGAGTATAAATACTTGGTGTAGCATATGGGCTAAGACTGTAATTTGTGAACTGTGAAGTTTCTGATTTAAATCCCATCTCAGCTACAAACTCACAAGTTTCATTTGTTTTTTTCTTTTTCCAAAAAAATATACTTGTTCTTTTGCTTTATCTACCATACCCCTTTCTCCCTACAGCCCAGGTATGATAATATGCTGGCATTCTCTTCAGGACAATAATAAAGAAGTATGTGAAACACTTTGGAGATACAATATGTGCTATAGACAAATACTGTGAACTGTTGTTCCAGTTAATGCTTTTTAATTAACCTTGCAAAAACATCAATAAAAATACAATGTAGTATTCTATTCTTATTCTGACTTCTTTTATTATATTTCAGACCATTCTCCAAACACACTTTGTGAAGGTCTTTATTTTAAAGAAACTGAAAGTGAAGACAGAATAGCCACGACACACATACTCTCCCATGTTTTCGCAAACTTCTTCAACAGCCTTCGCTTTTCCAGCTTATGTTTTTGCAAACTTTTAGAGTGCCCTAGACCAACAAAACTAGACTGAACCCATCTGGGAATCTGACACTGTTGCCATGATTAGGTTAGCTACCCAAGAGTAGTTTTAGATGGTAGCATTTTAAGACTTTTACTTAAAAGATTGCTAATCTTTTACGTCACACCGCTTTAATCTACTTGGTATCCTTCTTCAGTAAAATACCTCAACCATCAGTTTAGTTCTGTCTCTTAACATGCTACTATTCTCTCTTTGTTCTACCAGTTCCTGACCTTTTAATCAAAATGACTATTCATGTCACACTTTATTACTGCTGACAGCTACAGATTTCATTTCCCTGACATATCACAAGCAATTCTTTCCCTCACACCTCCCCTGAAATTCAGCTGCTAATCTTGCAAGAGGCAACCATTACATGCAATGTTTTACGTTTAAACATCCCCATGTGTGTGTGTGTGTGTGTGTCTATAAATGAGATTTAAGATTAAATTACATAATATTTCTAACCTGAAATACTGAACAAATATACCCATATCAACTTGAATCATCAAGGCTTGCCTTTGTTGTAAGACTCTGATGATAAGATTTGTATTGGTCTAGCCATGCTTTATAATAATAAACAGCAACAGTAATATGCCTCTTGCCTGCTTCATTCATGTATCTATAAAGATCTCCATAGACAATCCAAACAGTTCAGTGGGATTCTGAAGATTTCAGGTCAGGAAATGTTTCTCTTCTAGAAGAGTTTGCCCTTTTACAGGTTAAAACAATGAAACAGACATTCTCTTGAGACAATAGTTCTATTCCGGAATACTTCTTCCTAAACTCAGTTTCTCTATGCCTCCTGCTCTCTCTTCTTATACAACAAACAGAATGAGCTGCTGCACTGCAGAATGTCAGTTTACTCATTTAGAACTTTCAATGCAGAAAATTCAGAGTGATGCAGTCAAGCAGATAACGCAGCACTTACCTTAATTGAAAATCCTTTCTTTTGACAAAGTGAACAGAAGGAAGCACCAATTCAAGTTCAGCCGTTATTTGGAGGGTAGTCTAAGTTTTCAATCAGCACCCTTCAGGCTGAGATGCATCCTGGGCTGTCGTTTGCTGTTGACGTTGAACTCTTCACTGTCTAGAAAAAAGGGGAGAGAAGGAAAGATCAGCTGGAATCCTCGGGAGAGATCCTGAGTAAGTGAGAGTACAAAAGCTCTGTGGCTTAAAAGGAGGATGTTCAACAAAACATCTTGGGTCTGAAGAATCCTGTGGCTGGTGCGAGAGGTTTTTATCATGTCCCTTGAGCCGAAGGATGATCGCTGACCTGATTAACACACAGCACACTCCCTACATATAGAGAAAGCACTGGGAGGATTCCTGGGCCGCCAGGGAGTCACAAAAGACACCGGGGCCACTTGGGAATGTCATCTCATGCAGATTAATAGATGTGCTGCTCCAGCTGAGGTTGTAATTTGCAAGGTGGGTAATGCACAGTGCAAAGCAATTTAATGATTTCAAAAGGAAATGTGTTTCTGCAATGCTCCTTTTTCGAAGGTGCGTCAGCATTCCAAACAGGTTATGACTGATTAATTAAAACAGATGGATAGAGCTGGTTTCATGATAGGGTGCTCAGCATATACAAAATACTGGGAGCTGAAGGGTGAGATGGGACTCAGATTTCAGCTTAACAGAAACAAAATTATTTTGGTGGGCAAATTTCCCAGATGGCAATTTACTATTGTTGGGCAGGAAGGGAGTAGGTTTCTCATGGCACATTTGTCAGTGGGAGTTAGCCATTACATGTGCAAAGTTATATTTCAGAAGAGAAATACTCCCCTCAAACAAGGTTACCAAATTGGCAGC